GTACATTGTATAACCACCTGGGCTTCAAAAATCTTGATGCCTGGGTCCCACTGACAGGCGACAATGATTTATCAATTCCCAAGTGATTCTATAAGGAGTCCTGGTAGCACTGTGGGTTAAGCACTGGGATGCTTAAAAGGCAGGCGGTTCAAACCCACCATCCGCTCTCCTCCTTAGACGTCTGCCCCTGTAAACATTACAGCCTTGGAAAGTCGGGGGGGGGGGGGGGCAAGTCTACTGTGTCCCATAAGCCAGCACTGACTCAACAGCAATGGATTTGGAACTGGGGAAGTGATTCGAATGTGCAGACAAGTCTGGGAGCCACTGCCTCAACACCTTTTTTTCTTCTCCCACCAGGTTAAGAACAGCTGTTTTACAAGTACGGCTGTAGCTTCAAGGCCTAGACAAGAAGAACAAACAGCCTTGCAATCATAGTACTGTTAAGACTGCAACATCGAAGAAGCAAAGGGAGCCAAACTTGGACATGAATCCTTTGGTGTGATCTCCTTATTCATTTGCCACAGGGGTGCTATCGTCCAGAGGTTAAGAAAGGCCCAAGTGTGTGTAATGGGGGAGGGGGGTGGTGTGCTGGTCTGTAGCCAAGAGGAACCAGGCCTTCACCTGCCTCCGCCCCCTGGCAGGCAGGCCTCCTCGTTCTGCCTCACTGACAGGGTGTGCGAGGCAGCAGCCCATCTAGTCTGGCCGGCAGAGCAGCCCAAATCTGCTCCCGAGACGTCCAATGCTGTCACACTGTATCTGACCCTTACCTGGCCATCTCATTTTTTCCAGGATAGAAGATGTATTATCAGTGAACCTTTCCCTAGGTAAGTTCATGACCTGTGACATTGCAGACCTGTGACATTGAGGGCACCCAACTGGTCCTCACCTGGAGTGGGTGTGTGTCAGGTGAGCCAGCCCTAGCCCTGAGTCATGAGCACCAGGAGAGATGCAGTTTGTCACTTCCCCCGTGCTCATGGGGGAGGACATAGAGAAGGGGGTTGAGGAGCTCAGTTGTGGTCACATGTACTGGTTTCCCCTCCAGAGTCCTTAGCCACCTGGAAGAACTGCCAGCTGGGCTGTGAACACAACCCTCACGTAGAACCCTCAATGAAACCACCAACTGCTTGTTCCCAGAGGAAGGAGACACTGAACACTCAACTACCCTACCACAGGCCCCCAGGCCCAGACTCCCACTTCACTATAGCCCACCCATCCAAGACAGACAATTCTTAATTGAGCATATGCAGCGGAAACTTTTCTTAAACATGTTGGAGCAATATTCCTTAAGCTACTTGGTTTGGGCCCAAACTGACCATGGCCCACATACTCGGAGCACAGAGGACTGACAAGGATGCTAGCTAATGGTGACCAGAGAGCCACTTCTGCGGTGGATGCTGGCTCAAGACCACATTCATCACCCATACCTGGGGACTGACCAGAAGGCACAACTGACTCTTCAGACCTTAAACAAAGGAGCTGGCCACCCTTAGCTTGGGGAGGACACCAAGTTTCCCTCAGTAACATTGCTTTGAACAATTTCAAAAGTCAGGATTCCCTCAAATCCCCAGAAGACATGTTAGGTTTCTGCTGCCAATCTTGAAATCCAGGTGGCATGTCATTTCAAGTTCAAATAATGACAGATGACTGCTGGCCTCCAATCCCTGCCCAGCCAGCTCTAAACTGACAGAGCGGAGTAAACTCAATCAACCCAAACCAGGAAATCATAAGGTCTAAGTAAAAGCCCCTCAGAAACTCCAGATGGAGGATACAAAGCAGACAACTTCTAACCCATGCTTTTAATTATCAGTGGTACCATGAAACCCCTCAACAAACCCCTTCCTCCATTTCACCACCAGTGAGCAGAACACAGACCTCTCTCTAAGGTGGGTCTTCCCAGACCACAACGCTTCTGTGGTGGACTCTGAGTTGGGCTGTTAACCACAAGGGTCAGCACTTCGAATCTACCAGAATCTGAGGATGAAGCTTTCTGTTCCTGTAAAGATTTACAGCCTTGGAACCCTTATATAGGGTCTCTAAGTCGGAACCAACTCAATGGCACACCACCACCACCCAATTCAGAGCAACTCCACAAGTTTCACCGCCTGACCCCCAAATCCACCACCTCATTACGAGGCTTCCCTAACATCACCCGAACCGGTGTTCAAGGCGCCGCTTGCAAACTTCTCCCCAAACCTGCTGTGGGCATCTGCGTGCTCATGTGTCTCTGCACGGGACTGTCTATCTGTATGTCTGCGGCACACACGAGCACAGACACACAAACACACACACACTCGCCGAGACAGGGCCATCCATCTGTCTCGGAAAGCCGGCTGTCAGTACAATCTCCTGGAACCAAGTCACTGCCTTCTAAAAACGTTTTCCCATCTGAGGATCCGTGCAGGCGTGGGGTGTGGCCACGCAGGCCAAGGAGGGGGCCTGTTTTGATGCTGGAATTCCAGCTGCTACCAGCAGGGCTGCTCTGGCCAGGCCGCCCACTCCCCGTCCTCCCTGCCTCCTTTTCCAAGGGCCAGCTCTGGCGTCACCCAGTATTTCTGGAGGGGCATTCCTTTGAGCACGCCTCCACCCCCACCACATTTTCACATTCGCCTTTTTTTCCCTTCCCTTCTTCCTCTGCCAAAAGAATCAAGGCCTGGCTCCGCTGTGGACCTTCCTCCCACCCTAAACTGAGCCCCATTCATGAAGGCTGCTCTCAGCCAGGGCAGGAAGGAAACCGGCACATGGGGCCTGTGAAAGAGACACTCAGAGCAGTTATTTCAAGGGGGGGGGGGAACCTGTGAGCCTTGCACCCCACCTTGAGGTCCGGCTTGCTCCCACCCTACTCCCTTGCAAACCAGGCCCTGCTCCCACCTCACGCTCTGCTAACCCTCTTCCCCAAATCCAGCTCTGCTTCCGTCAGTCACCACAACTGTCTCTGGGGCCACTGGCCTCATCCTCTTCAAGGTAGACACACCCAGCCACCTCCCACACTCTCCCCCCTCAATAGCAAATTGAACTTCTAGAAAGGGCTTTCTCCATTTGCAAAATCCTCCGCCCTGGACCTAGACCATAATATTCTTTTTCAGCAGCATTCTTGCTTCAAAGGACATAGTCCAAGGTTTTCTGAGTGTCCATCCCCTCCCCTAAAGACACCCCCATCCCCAATGACATCCACCCAAGTAACAGTTTCTACAACACCCTTCCCCCCACCCCTCGGCCTTGGCACATTATTAATTCGCTGCTCCAAGTCCAAACGGAAAGAAGAATGAGCTCAAACTCTGAAGCCCTGGGAATTAGTAAATCAAGAGCTAAAATTCAAAACAAATGCTCTTTCATGTGGAGGCTTGGTTTTTTTTAAATTTTTTGTGCAGTTTTGTTAAACCACACGATCCCTTCAGACATAACACCCATTCCTAGCAGACCCTCATTAATCTAAATGGTTACAATTACCTGGTGGGAAGGGGGCAGTTAACAGTTGTTTTATCCCGTTTTTTTCTAGAAAAAGCTTTTGGGAACAGAAAAGCCCATCCCCAATCTCAGAAGGGTTTGAGAGGGTCCCCTCTGTGTCACTCTTGGGAACGGGTGAGAAGGCACTGGTGCAGCCAGGTTCGTCATTTCCGCCAGCAGAGGAGACAGACAAGATGTTATCAATAAGACAAACCTTCCAAACAGGCCCCTTTCAAAAGCTACCACACTTCCCTTGTTTATTTCATGTGGTTCCGATGGGCCGGGCTCCTCCCAGCACATTCAGGATTTAAAAAATACAACCATCTAACAACATCCTGTGCATGTTATCCTCAGACCCTTCTACTCCTTGGCCTTCTGTCTTGTGACCACTACTCAGCCTTGCAGAGAAGAAAAGATTCAATTTACCGTGTGCTTCAGGCTCTGCGTCTTCACCCCCGAGTCTCACTGACCCCTTCACTGGGCCCCCTTTTTTTTTTCCCCTGCTTAATTCCCATTAGAAGCTTTGAGTACACAATCCCCTGTCTCTCAGATAACAGAGTATGTACTGCACTGAAATCAAAACAAATAGGGTTCTCCCTAAAGACACTCTCAGCAACCTCAATTCCTGGAGAGGAACAACTGGGAGGCAACCGTCCCAAATGGCCAGAGCCAACACTAGACCAGTGAGTCAAAGAGGTCACTTTGAAAAACAAAAGTGCCCCCAAACAACAGTCTTACTACTCCCAGTTGAGCTGTCAGGGTTCCCCCTTGCCCCCCTCCCACTATGTTCAAAAGCAAGAAATATCCAACACCCAGAGCTCAACAAGAACTTTTCTTCTTTTTTTTAAAGGTTACTTTCAGCTGGTTCTTAGGAAATCAAGGAATGGCATACTGGTGGGAAGGGATGCACAGGTAGAAACAGGTTTCTAGAGAAAAATTTTGAATGGCCCTACTTTCCACTGCCAGTAACTTTTCTCTAAGTTCCTCACCCACTTTTCCACATCCTTCAATGTAACGATGCTCTTGTGTCTGGTCACCCACTTCACAGCGCCAAACCCATTAATCCACCCAAGGAGCTATGGCTTTTCAGGCCCTTACTCCTGTGCCTGAGCCCTGTGGTTTTATCCACACCCTCCTGGTAGTAGCAGTTATAACCCCTGCTGCCCGCCCCTTGGCCCCAGAAGTACAGAAGCTGAAAAGCCTTTTACTCTGAAACCCAACAAGTTCTTAAAAGGCGGAACCAGCCCCTTCTTCATGACACTTATGCACAGAGAGCAAGAGCAAAAGAGCAAAAGTCGGCATCTGAACTAACGGCGCCAAAGCCGCCAAGTGAAAGCCCCTTCAGCCAGGAACTTCTCAGGAACAACCATGGAGCTCCCAGCATCCTCACGTGGAAGGCACCAACTCACCAAAAGCATCCATCCAATGCAATGCCCACAAAAGCAAAAGTGAACTCCAGACCAGCTGGGGTGGCAGAAGCCACCCCTGGTACACCCCCCTCCCGTCATTTCAAGAGAGCTTAGAATTGCCAGGAAAACAGGGACAAAGCATCTTACCTGAAAGCCCCCCAGGGGCCAGATAATTCGTTCCCCCTGTTTCAGCGGAGGAAGGCACAGCATCTGGACAGCCTGCTGCGGATTCAAAAAAGAGAGACAAATAAATACACAAATACATAAGTAACACTCCGATTCATTTTTAAAGCACATTCTAAGCAGCATTAAAGGAGACCACACATTCCAAGTGGCTGACTCGCCGCCGCGAGGCTGATTATTAATGGTCTGCTCAGGCTTCGCTGCCCATCATAAGACAGACCACAGCACCTTGTCACCAGTCTGGGCTCCAGGCAGCCAGTTAATCATTAGTCAAGTTAGGCTCAATCACAGACTGGCTGGAATGTCTCTTTCATTACAAGTTCCCCATTGAGGAAGCCTGGTAGTTCCCAAGGTCAAAGCTAGTTTGACTTCTCCTTCCTCAAGCCTGTCTGCATTGTCTCCCCACCTCTCTTCCCAGAGGCCTCTCGAGCACCCCCATAGATAATGTCTAGCAGCTCATCTTTGTGCGACTGACTTCTCAGCTCATTAGGAGTTTTTCTTAAGACTGGTATCCATTGAGCCAACCAGACTTCTATAACTGAAGTATAACAAAGTATCAAATCTCAAGTATGATGCACTGAATTTCACCCATGTCGGCAGTCTAAACTCACCAGCCACTCCTCAGAAACCCTTTACAGCATTTCTATGAGTCAGAACTGACTCGATGGCACTTAACCACCACAGCAATACACCTACTGAAAAACCCGTAGTAGCACAATGGCACTCAGCTGCTAACCAAAAGGTCTGTGGTTTGAATCCACCAGCAGCTTCATGGGAAAAAGACCTGGTACGGAGCTATGGTAGCATAGTGGTTACAAATCGGGTTGTGAACCACAAGGTCAGCAGTTCGAAATTACTAGCTGTTCCGCAGGAGAAAGATGAGGCTTTCTGCTCCCATAAAGATTTACAGCCACGGAAACCCTGTACACAGGGTCACTATGAGTTAGAACCAACTTCACAGCACATAACAACAACAATCTGCTCCCGTATCGATTGCTGTTGTTAAATGCCCGAGTCGGTTCAGACTCATAGCAACCCTGTATAGTTGGTGGATTTGAAAAGCCACCTTGCGGTTCAGTGCTTATCCTACACAGCAGGACTCCACAACCTAGGAAATCCTATGGGGCAGTTCCCACCTGGAGACACTGAGTTAGAAATGACTGACGGCACACAACACGCACTTATGTAAGATTCCTGTTGTTTTTAAGTGCCATTGAGTTAGTTCTGACACATAGCGACCCTGTATAGGGTTTCCGTAGAGCGGCTGGTAAGCTTGAACCACCAACCTTGCGGTTCAAACTGACATTGCAATCCAGCTCATTAACCCACAGTGCCACACCAGGACTCCTGGGTAGTGTAAAGATTTGCACTCCTAATCTAAAGGTTTGCAGTTCAAACCCACTCAGCTGTGCCAGAGGAAAAAAGGGCAGACAATCTGCTTTCACAAAGATTGTTGCAGGTATTAAATGCCACGGAGTCGGTTCTGACTCAGTGACCCTGCTGTATCGGGTTTTCTAAGCAATGAACAGCTGGTGGGTTTGAACCACCAACCCTTAGGTTAACAGTCCAGTGCTTATCCTACAGCACCACACAGGATTCCTCAATGAAGATTACAGCCAAGAAAACCCTATAGAGCAGTTCTACTCTGGTACAGGGCCACCATGAACTGGTATCAACTTGATGGCAAGGAGTGATTATCATACACACACGCGCATGCGTGAAGGGGCTTCAATAAGTTTATGGAAATTTTCATTCTCTTTCATTCCACTTTTCATGAGCTTTTTGAAGGCTTCTCATACACACACCTGTAAGCAAACCAGTTCATGGCAGAGTACATTCTGAGCAAGGCTCCAAGCCAGAGGGAAAGCATTCTACCTCTTTCAAGGCCACATCCAAACCCCCATCTCTGGAAGCCATCCCAGACAGCCTGAGACCTGCGAAGCTCCCTGCTCTCTCCATTCCTGTAAAGTCTTTCTGGCACCAGGACTTGGTATTTCTTCCACTGTCTTTACTGATCTTCATTCAGATCCTATCTGGCCCAACTACTCTATAACCTTCTCTTCAATTTCTTGTCACCCTCAGGTGCTCAACAAAGTGCCCTATATGTGAGCAGATAATTTCAACTCCAGCTGAGAAACAAGACTTTACACCTCCCTCCAAACAATTTAGACAAATGACACCCATGAACTACAATTAGTCCCAGGAAACAAAAATACACAAGACCTCATTATTCACCTTGGTCAATGCCAGATTTACTTAAATCCATATAGGAAGTCTGGTTCAGGAAAGGTGTGCCCCAGCTCTGCAGCAAACATGCCAGGCTGGATTTAAGTACAGTAAAGCATCCAAATCTCAAGTAGGACTCAATCTAGTCATTCAGAACCCAGTCCTCCCACCCCATGCCACTAGCAAGATGTGTCCAGAGTGTGTATTACCAGTTTCTAATTGGAAAAGCTTGGCCACAGTGGTAAACATTGAAGCCAAACCAAGACTAGTTTCAGGGGTGCTGGAGCTCTAAACTGGCTTACGAAAAGCCCCAAACCATCCCGGTAACCATTACTGCTTCCTCCTTTACCCTTAGATTCTCAGGGTAGTATAGGGCTCCTCCCTTCTTCTCCAGCATTCTTTCCCAGGCTGGAAGAGAACTTTGCAAGAACTCTCCTAAATAGCATCAGGGAGAGAACGGGGGAAGCCGAAGAGTGGCAAAGGGAGTCAGGGGAGAGAAAGGAGACCGTGTAGTCTCATTTTATCAGGGTTAAGTATAATTCCTAACACGAATATACAGTTTTACAGGATACATTTAATCAAATGGAAAACAATAGGGGGAGGCAGGAAATGGAGTTACTACTTCAATGTATAGACCCTGCACTTTTTCGAAAGTTCTTTGATGGCCTTCAACCATGTGTTAGAGATCGGCTTCTCAACCCTGTCCTCCACCCACCACCCCCACACGGAAGACCATATTAAACACGATGACTTATCCACAGCCACGCCCCACGGAGCTCTGGCTGGGCTGCTGGAATCCCAGGGGCAAGGTATGTTTCAAAGGAAAGGGCCGGCATCTCAGAGCAGAGCAGGGACCAGTCAGGGTGTCAGCCATCCCAGATCAAAGGGAAGCCAGCTCTGCTCTGGCAACCACAAGCGTTTTTTATGAAATGATACTCTGCCCTTCTACAAAGCCTTTGATCTCAAGAGGGATTTACAAACATTAATTAGGCCTCCCTACCACCCCTGTGAAGTAGCAAAGTATACCTGTTCAACATGCATCCAGGTAAACTGAGGCGTCACTGACTAGCCCAAGGGGCCACCCAGTGAGCTGGGCTACACCCCAGAGAGCTCCTATCCCAGGACTCTTCCTTGCCAGTCAGGCCATGGAGTCCCGACTCTCTTCCTTGGAGCCGTCCAGACAGAGGCAGGCTTCAGCATCTAAAGTGGCCTCAAGCTACCGCCAGGCTTGTGTTATAAAGGTCAAAGGGGCCACGCTTCCTCCCCTCACCCTCAAAAAGACTCCACAAAGACAGATGTCTAAAACCTGAACGTCTGCTTATGTCTCCCAGACAGGCAAATACTCAGAGGCTCTTGCCATTCCTGGCTTTCCCCACCATGATTCCAAACACTGGTTTAAGTACTAGGTTCTGTAGAAGGAAAAAGAACCAACCCAACTTACTCCCTTCTCTGAGCAGCTCCAACCAAACCGAACCCATTGCTGTTGAATGGATCCCAACTCATGGCGAGCCCATATGTTAAGCTTGGCTATAATCTTTATGGACGCCAGGCCTTCCTCTGCTGAACCACTTTAGATTAGCAGTCGAGGGCAAACTGTTTGTGCCTGGGTGCCCAGACCTATGTGACTTCAACAAAATCTTCAAAACCCAAGCTTGAGGAGCAACCAAGCAATGTACTGTTAAAAAGTGGCACCCAGTGAGCGTCTCTGACCAAGAGAATAAATATCTCCAGGAGAGCTGGGATATTCCTGTCAAGTGTCTTCTGAGCTTCCTAAATGCTGTCTGTGACCTAGAAGCCATGCTACTATCACCAACAGAACCAGAACTCAATGAAGTCTGGCTACAGAAGAGCGCAATCCAGGCACATCATCCTGGCTGTAAAATGAATGAATGAACCAAGGCATAATGAAATGCATACATCATTTAATCTAAACCTTTCATCATCTGGATTTGGAACAAGGCATGGCAAAGTGAGTGGCTTAAGAGATCAAAGCAGGACCAGACTTTTCAACTACACTTTGGAGACTCATCTGCCAATGGGCACTGGCTACCTGAGTGTCCCAACCCAAGCAAGCAGAGCTTAACCCCACAATTCCCACTGCTCACTGTGCCCCGCTTCCAACTTTCATCTCATCAGATCCAGACCATCGCCATTGTTCTCACTCCTCAGGGAACAGGGATTACTGACTCAACTGTACCTGACATTCCTTCCCCAGAGAACCCTGTTGCTCCGAGACCCCCCAGTACCCCGGCCTGTGGTAGAGTGGCTTAACCTTCCAGTTCCCCTAAAGACCCGCAGGGTGCCCAGCCCAAGTTCCCTTCTCACTGAAGAATTCCACAAAAGGATTCCCTATAAAACCTTAGATCTAGTTCTCAAGACCAAAATTTCAACTTAGGACTTAGAAGTTTAAGAATTAAGTACTGATCTAATACTGAAGCAAAGCGTTACTGTTGTTGTGTATAGTTTCCAAAAGCAGCTGGTGGGTTTGAACTGCCAGTCTTGCAAAGAGCAGTCCAGTGCTTACCAGAGCCTAAACCAAACCCTCGCCCATACACAAGGTAGGGACGAAAACTCAAACAGCACCCACTCCACCTGTGAGTCCTTCCTGGACTTCCAGAGCTATCCCAGAGTCCCCTCCAGCCCTAATCTTGGCCCCAGGGCTCCACCAGTTAGCCCTGGCTGCCCTCCAGTGCATCAGGAAAACAGGACAATCTCTTTCACAAGGGGCCGAAACTGCTACTTAAGGTTCTATGCTCCTGCACAACAATGTCTTTTCTTTTTCTTTTTTTGGTTTTGTTTTGTTTTAAACAAAACATTTTGGGTGAGTAACCAGCAGTTTTTCCTTTCCGATTGGCAGGTTAATCACTTCCTATTGGCTGATCTGGAGGACTTTTCTCCCCCTTTGGAAATGGCACATTCCTGTCTTTGTGGCTTCTCTGTTTACACACATTTTACTACCTAATGTCAACACTTGCTAATGAATAAATCTATCACTCCACTCTCTGAAAATGAGGTCCTGGCCTGGCAGAATGACTGCTTAAATCCTGCTAATAGATTTAGCTCAGTCTCTATCTTTGCAGAAACCCAACAGTGTGGCTGTTCGTGTTGATGGGTTTGAGGAGGTGGCTGGGAACTCAACCTCTACCTCCAGGACCAAGAGAAGGGCTCTAGCTCTCTCCTTCCCTCCTTCAAGGAACACCTCAAAATTTGAAAAACATGATGGAAACACAAAAACAGGGCAGAAGTGGCCCCTTGGAGAACTAACTTCATGAAAACCTTGAGTCTTCTCTAAACCAAAAAGTCCAGTCAAGTTACACTTTCTACAATCTCTGGGAAAAAGGAGCTGGGTAATTTCTGGTAGCATTTGTTATGCATACAGAGAGCTGGTTATCACACCTCATTAATGTCCATTAATCTAGTGTTTTGTAAATTGAAAGCAAAATATCACATGTTTTGCAGGCCACTTATTAGACAGGCAGTAGAATAGGCAATAACGCCTTCCCAACCTGAGGGAGCTGGTGGAGTCCTGGGAGGGCTAGTTGTGAAGTATGGGCTTCAGTTACACCGTTCATTAAAGTATTTAATTTACGACAACGCCCTAGCAAAACTTTTAATTACTGGGGGGGTGGGGGGATGCCAACAGCTAAAAACTCAAGAGGTGGAAGAGCTTAGAGAATTCCAAGAGCTAAACAGTGCCCAACCCCCCCCTTCACTACTTCTCCCAGAACCTTGGCAAAAATTAAAAAGGGCACCCACCACCACTCTTACTCAGGCACCAGTTAATGGGCACAGACAAAAGTTACGTGCCTTCCTTGTAGCAAATGCATAAATGCATCTCCTAGGACAAGACAGGGCTCCTGCCAGTGCTCATCTGTTTTGGTGACCCTCTTGCCCCTCCTGCTACTAAATCCACTGGGGGAGTCCCTATACCGCCCTAAAGTTGAATGCTGACAACCTCCAACCAACAGGGCTGGCGTCAGTCCCAACTGGGCTTCTGTCCCTCAGCTCCCTGCTGCCTGGGTACAGAGCAACAGGGGTTAAAAAGTTACATGCATACGGAACTACGCCAAAAACTTTTGTGGTCCCAACCAGTAATTCTGAGACTCCTTAGAATAAACACTGACTTAGAAGGACACTGCTAAGGGGATTGTTGCCTCTCCTTCTTAAATAATCCTAAATCTTCCTTTTCCTTCCACCCAGCAGTTAGCCATTCTCCCATTGCCTACCCTAGCACTCAGAATACAGTCTTCAAGCTTCCCATCAACGGGTCCTATTTGGCTCCCAAGACCCTTGTAGGTAGATCAAAGCTTTCAAGTGCTAAACCTGAGCCAATTTTAATCAGAGTGCAAACTGTATGACAAATGAACAAAAATGAACAAAAATGTAAAGCGCATCTAGGAAACATCTTTGTGGGGGTTTGTCTTGTAATCCAGCCACAACCAAAACTCGAGAAAAGGATCAAAATTTCCAGGTGAAAAAGAGTCCTATAACCAGCCTGGAGCAGCCTTCACTCCCCACACACCACTGTCTAAAAAGAAAACACGGGTTCTAGAGGCTCCCGTTTAAGTTCAGAGAGAGAAGATATTTTTAAAATCATCTACTCACCAGCTGGTTTGAGAAAATCCATCGGGTATCTGGAGTAAGGAGGAGGGGGAGACTCTGGAATTTAAAAAGTAAGAGAAAATAAAGGCCGCGCCATGAGAGAGAGATAGAAACTTATGATAACCGAGGCATTCTTTCAGCCCAACTGTTTGTCTTAGCTGTGGGGGTTGGAGGCAGGGCCGCGAGGCGGTGATTGCCTTGATATTTAGCTGTCAGATAAACAAAAGAGGCCGCCTGGCGCCAGCCGCGGCTCTCAGCTCCTCCACGTCTGCGGCTGCCGCCGCCGCCGCTCTCCGCCAGCCGAGCTGGAAACCACCGGCTCCGTCGGACAGCGCACTGTACATACAGTTTAAGGGGTGGGGGCTACAAGGTCCCCTTCTCCTGCACCCCTGTCCCCCAGGCGCAATTTCCTCCACCGGAGGTACCCCTTTGCCCCCCCCATTCCTGGCCCACCAGGGAGGCGCGCCCCAAAAGTATCCAAATGAACTTGTGTTGGGGTGAAGTCAGCGGGTGATGGGGCTCTGAGGGCATGGGGTTCACTGTCTCCCACCCCGTGCACAGGGGTGAGGAAGAGAGAAGACATAGAAGCAGCAGGGGGGAATAAAGAAAAGGGAGGCCCCAATGCTTTAAAGGGGTAGCAAACGTCACCGCGACAATGGGGGCAGACAAGTTTACGGACAAGCTATATGCTTTTCTATTCTGAAAGAAAAAAGAAGGGAGAAGCTACTTCGCTTAACTATAGTATTTCACCCTGGAGCTGGCAGAGATGAAGCGAGGAGGAGGAATCAAGTTGTGCCTCCCATCCGAACCGTCTTTGCCCACAACCCCAAAACTGTGAGCCCAGGTCATCATCCGGGCCACTGGTGCCCGTCCAGACTTTCCGTATTTACTAAAGGAGACTTTGCAGCCGTTACAACTCTCCTCGCTTGTGTCAGCCTTCCTTGGCGGGCTTGGACTCAATCCAACTCCGCCACACACCTCAACGCCTTTCCGGGTGCGGGAGGCGTGACACCCCCCCCTTTTATGCATCCCTTTGCAGATGCGGAAACGAGGGTGCCTAATTTCTATACGCAGGTTTGTACGGGTCTGCTCACAATCAATGCCACAGCCCCCCTTGGGGCAAGTGGGGCGAACCTGGAAGGGAAACCCCAAGGAATGTCCCTGTCCCTTCTGTTGCCTTTTCCCCAAGTCTCCTCCCAGAAGGGGATGCACACTTCCCTCAGGAGAGATGGCTGCATAAACACACAGCACGAGGGGTCTTTTCTATCACCATCTCAGTGCGGGGCTGGGGAGCGTGGTCGCAGAACTTCTTACCTAGTTCGCAGAGTCGGCTAAGGTGATGGGGATTGCAGCACACCAGCTCGGGGTTGATCTTCCCGTAAGATTCACAGCAACACAGCCTCTTGACTTCCGAGGAATGCCTGAGATCCGGCCACCTGAACACTTTGCACAGCAGGAGGGGGAGAGAGTAGGCCGAGGGCGGCTGCGCGGGCTGAGCGCCGGCGGGCGCCCCCGGGCCCAGCCTGCAGTCCAGCCGGCCGGGCAGCAGGAGGCACGCGGTGCGAGTCCCGCCGCGGGACTCCACGGCCTGGAGCAATAGCTCCAGCTGCCGCTCCTTCAGTTTCTTGAGCACCGAGTGCGTGAGCGCCTTCAGATCCGCCTCGGCGCCCCCGGCCGCACCGGCGCCCGCGGCTGGGGGATGGGGATGGTGGTGACCTTTGGCACCTCTGACTGCCTTGCCCATGCAGCAGCCAGCCCTGCCTGCGCCGCCGCCGACCCCATGCGCTCGACTGTCCGTCGCCCCTTCCCCCCGCGGCTCTCCACCGCCGCCGCCCCCCACGCCCTCCTCCTCGTCCTCGCCGCCGGGCGCACGGCTCCTCCAGAGACGCCGGACGAGCGCAGATCGTTTGGTCCTGAACATGCGGGGCGAGGAGGCGAGGAGAAAAGTCGTTTGCCGGCTAAGGAGCGAACATGACCTCCGCACACCATGAAGAAGTCGGGCGCCGAGTTGGGGCAGCAGGCGCAGGCGACAACAGCAGCAGCAGGGGCCCGGGCAAGAGCGGAGGCGGCCCGAGGGGCGCTCCGTGGCATGCGCCAGTCTCCCGGAGGCCGGGGCGCGCGCGGGGGCCCGGGGGCGTCTGCCGGGACTCGGGGGCCTTCGCTCCGGCTGCCCCACCCCGCGCGGCCCGCGCCCTGCGCGGCTCTCGGGTCCCGGTGCGCCCCGGAGGAACGCGGCCGCCGCTTCCCTGGGGGCGACCGAGCCTGCCCCCGTCCGCGCCTCCCAAAAAAGAGGCCCCCCCGCAGCGGCTCCCGAGTGTCGGATTCGCCAGCCTCGGCTTCCTACATGGAAGATCCGCGGAGGTAAAAAACGAAAGGCGTTCGACCGGGCTCTTGAAGGAAGGAGAAAGGTTCTTTCCCCCTTGCTAAGCAACTTAATTTGGGGGTGGGGAGAAGCAGGCAATTAAAAAAAAAAAAAAAAAGGCACGGATTTATTTTTTTTCCTCTATATCCTTAGTAACCGGATCTCCTCGAATTCCGTGCACACGAAGACTCGGGGGAGGGGGCCGAATGGACTTCACCCGGCATGAGATGTCTAGCGAAATAAGAAGGCTTTCTCACAGCCTAAGAACCAAATATGTAAGACCAAAAATGAAAAACACAACCTCGTCGCGCCCCGGAGGTCTGGGGGCGTCCGGCTGGAACTGGGGTTAAAAAAAAATGTTTACAAAGTAGAACAAGATGTTTGAAGGGGTGGAAAACCGTATCCACGAGTTACATCCCCCTTCTTTCCTTGCAGAGCCCCACTGGTCTTCCTCTCCCTTCTCTTCTACCAAAAAGGGGGAAAAATCGTATTTTTTTAATCCACAGAACGCTTTGGCTCGGTGACTCCAATCCTCCGCATCTGGGTAATTCGAAGGGAGTCTGGTTTTGCCTCCTGTGCTCCCGGGGGCCCTCGGCGGGACTTCCTCGGGCTGGCGGGGGCGCAGGACAGAAGATGCTGCGGCGGCGGTGGCTGCTCCTGGCGGGGCTGACAGCGCGGGGGAGGGCGGCGCGGCGGCGGGTCCCCGGCAGGTCGGCGCGCTCTCGCCCTCCTGGGGCGCAAGCTACTCGCTAGTGCGGAGGCTGCCGACGTCCCCTCCCCTAGCCTCGGTTGACCACCGGGGTTCCGCGTACAGGCTGCTCGCGCCGACTCGGCGGCGGCAGGAGGCCCCGGTGTCCTCGCACCGCCTCCTCCTCCAAGACTCTCCTCGTCGCTCCCCGGAGCCTCCTTGTCCCCCGTCCGCCCTCTCCTGGCGCTCCGGGTCTTGCTGCTGCCTCCGGGGACTCGATGCGCCGCACTCCGGGACTCCTCGGCCGGGCACTAGGCTGCTCGGCGCCGACAGGCTGGCTCCGTCTCAGGCAGCTTTCTCCGGCGCGGCGAGCTGACCGAGCGCGGCGCCCGGGTGTCTCGGCTGGCGCGGCTCGGGGACAGGATCCTCCGTGCGCTGAGCAAGCGAGCGAGTGTGCCCAGAGC